CCCTAATAAACTAATTTCATTTTTATACTTCGTTAGTGTCATGAACCCCTATACCCTATCAAGCACCGTACCATAAAGCCATTTTAGCGCATTTAGAAAAAATGTGCTACTGTTTGCATTTTGTCTGTCCGTCCATCCGGACCCAAATCTGCCGTGTTGAATTCCTTTTATTAGGGTAACGCTCCTATTGTCCTGTAATTAGAAGTCGATTATAACTGCTTCTTTTTTTTTTAAATTAAATCGTGTATTGCCAAATCAACATACAAGTGTTATACATGACATTTATGACAGTAAAGACACAAAATGACGAGAATAATGACAAGACTTATTCTAATGTCTCTGACGACTAATGCGAATTTATAAAAAGTGAATGTATAACATTTAAAGGATTGGCTTATTCACTATCGTCTTCGGAAGCTATAAGATCTTGCGGCATTTTTCGTTTTAATCTAATGAATAAGTTTTTTTGAGAAAGATTGAAAAACACTGCACCGTCGCACGCACTTGCATTTTTAACGAACTTCTTTGCACATTTTAACGTGAAGTCTTGAATAGACGAAACGCCTAATTCGTAGTGGAGCTGATTGTTGCGTATGTACCAAGGGGCGTTTACAGCAATTCTAAGGGTTTTGTTTTGAAATCGCTGCAATTTCTGAATGTTGGTTTTGGAAGTGTTGAGCCAAATCGGACTAGCGTAGAGTATTAATGGTCGTAATAAGGTCTTGTATAGCAACGTAGTGCATTCGGGTTTGAGTGAGGATTTTCGATTTATTAACGGATAAAGCTGTCTTAGTCGATTGTTGCCTTGGGAGAGTTTTTGGTTTATATGGTAACTCCAGGTGAGACGAGTATCTAAATGAACTCCAAGATATTTTACTGCACTGTCCTTTGAGTTCCATGGTATGATAACTCCGCTTATTTCGATGTTGGGTGGGTCAATAATTCTTCTCAGAGTGAATATCTTACTTTGACATTTTGGTGGGTTGATTCTGATGTTCCAGTTATTGTACCACTTAATAATTTTGTTTACGGCATTCTGTAATTCGTGAACTGCTTCTTCCAATATTGTTCTCTGTGTAATGATGGAAGTATCGTCGGCAAATATGGCTAGGGATGCTGTTACTGTTGGTATGTCTGCTGTAAAGATATTAAAGAGAAGTGGCTCCAAGATGCTTCCTTGTGGAACGCCAGCGTGAATTGCTTTGATTTGTGATGTGTAAGAATTTACTTTAACTGCAAATGTTCGACGTTCAAGGAAGGAGAAGATTATTGTTTGCAGGTAGCTAGGAATGCTCAGATCCAGTATCTTTTTCTTCAGACCTTCGATCCAAACCTTATCAAAGGCTTGTGCTACGTCGAGAAGGGCCATTGTGGTGTAACACTTATTTTCAAATCCAGTTGAGATAATTTCGCTGGCGCGTTGGAGCTGGTGACATGTTGAGTGCCCTCTCCTAAAACCAAATTGAGAAGGTGGCAGGGTATGTAGTGTTTCAATGTCTTTCAATAATCGAGTGTAAATAATTTTTTCGAGGACCTTGGAGAGAGTGTTTAGTAGGCTTATAGGTCTGTAGTTATTGATGTCGTGTTTGTTTTTGCCCGGCTTGGCGAACATGAGAATATGTCCGTGCTTCCATTTACTGGGGAAGTGGCCTTTTCGCAGACATCCATTGAACAGGGAGGCTAGATATGCTAGGCATTTCTTGGTTAAGTGCTGAAGTACAATGTTGGGTATAAGGTCATATCCAGGTGCTTTTCGTTTGGGTAAAGTTGCTATCAGTTGGGCTATTTCTTTGGGTGATGTGGGTTCAATGTTTTTGGGGATGGGAAGATTTCTTTCGATGTGGTTAGTTATATGAAGTGCTTGCGTGGGGTTGCAGATATTTAATGGTGAGAATAACTTTTCTAGGTGGGTAGCGAACGCTTCGGATTTTTCGGCATCTGTGCTAAGTATGTGTGTTCCAGAGGTAAGGGTTGACAGTTCATCGTTCTGTTTTAGTATTCGTTTAGTGGTTTTCCACATCCCTGGATCTCCGGGGCCGATGTCTGCGATGTATTTTTTGTATGATTCGATTTTGTATGCGTGCTTCTCTGTATACGAGACACAACGCTTTAGAACATTCACTTCTATAACGACGAATTAATATCTCTTAGAACACCATCTAAGCTACAATAACCACCAAAACTGGCTATCTTTCACCAAAAAAGCTAACTCAAACGCCTCGTTTAACGTTTTCCCCCCTTAGTTAAAACATTTCTCCCTTCTATTTATAAACTTTCCGATCTATTTCCTTACTTAATAACGACATTAACCAATCAAATCCGCTAAAAACACTGGCCGGCTCTCCCTCCCGTCTAACTTCAACTTTGTTAAACACCTGCGTTTACTTCAAAGAACACATGTTTATCTTCAAATTCATTATCTTTATCTTTGACGGAGCGATAACGAACTCCTTATCGCAAGATCGGATTAAAGTGCAATAAACTTTTAAGAAACACTTAACACAATTACTTGCAGATGTCCCTAATCTTTCTTGTCGTAATTTCTCTAATATTTTGTATATCTACTCCAACCCCCCCTTTTTGTTCGTCTTTATCATACATCGGGACGGAATTAAACATCTGCAAAGATATGTTTAAACCGTTCAATATAAACATGTTTATTTTTGATATTGGTGACCACCCTTACTCTGAATAATACATGTGATTATCCCCTTTACAGTTTTTTACTACTATTAAAATTACTTCTAGGTAAAATTTAATATTCACTCAGGAGCTGTAGGCGTTACTCCCGTTTCTATAAAGCCCGCCGCGCCGTGGAGAAATTGTATATTCTAGCGAATAACGGTGAACAGTCAGTGTTTTTTTTTAACCCCGCTGGATCTATCCCCCCCCCCCACTATTGTGAATCAATTTAAGAATGGTATCCAATCTATGAGTTATTTGGATTCAGCCCCCCCCCCCCCACTAATTCGAATTACTTTTTCCAAATTAAATTTCGTACTTGAATTACGAGCTATTCAAGAGGTTTCATTTACAAGTAATTGCAATTTTTGAGCGACACTCTTAAAAAAGCCAATAGATAGGAGAATAATCGATGGGGCGGCCAGTTCCACTTGGACGTAGCCCCTGCTCTATTATCGTTTACTTATTTCATTTTTATCCATGAATTACGCCCTATCGATTATATCTATTTACTCTCTTAAGAATGACACTCAAAAATTGCAATTACTTGTAAATGAAACCTCTTAAATAGCTCGTAATTCTAATACAAAATTTAATTTAAAAAAAGTAATTTGAATCAGTGGGGGGGGGGGCGAATCTAAATAGACCCCCCCACCCCCATAAAAAATGTTAGATTCCTAGTGATTTAAGCTCTAACACTTTATGCTTGCAATATGGAAAGCTCCTAAATAACTCATAAATTGGATACCATTCTTAAATTGATTCACAATGGTGGGGGGGGGGGGGCTAGGACCAGCGGGATGTTTTTTCAGTGCATTTCTTACTAAAGTACTTATAATGTTCTCTTTATCCACTTATTCTCATTTATACCTTTTGTATAAATTTGTATCTATGATAAACGAGATGGCAAACAAGATACGAAGAATCGCATACGATTTTCAGTAGGGGAATTTTTGCCACTCACCTCGAATTCGGAAACCAGACTTTTAATCGTTGAACTTGTAGAAATCGATTGACGAAGGTTTGATATCGCTGTTTCTTTTCGTTCTTAAGTTAGACGAGAAACGAACGGACTGACATGACGGACCAAACCATCTCATAATGAACACTTTTTTCTTTCGAAAAATTCCCCTGACTTTCGAAAATTTCCACTGAAAAGTGCAGATAAAGCGCATTTTTTAAAACCGGAATAACTTCATAAAATAAAATTTAAAGGCAAACCTTCTTCCGATGCTCTGTTCTCCAGATATGAGGAATTATTATAGCTGATCTCAATAGGGGGGCGAGGAAAAAAACTGTGGTTGGTCCGAATTAATAAACCTTTCAGTCAGTTTTCCCCCTCCCCCCCCCCCTCGAACGAACAAACGCAAACAATAATTATTACATTTTTTTAATAGTTAATAAAATGCGTTAAAAATTTCAGCACGGAAACTTGTGTCTTATCTTGTTAATTATTGCAATACAATTAAAGAAAATCGGAATTTATTAAGTATACCTACGGTAGAAAAAAACCTGCAACTTAAAGCAATTTCAAATCCAAGTAAATACCATGGTTGTAATGCCCTCGAAGGGAGCGGCAGTGTACTAAATAAATCATAAATTTAACTGAATCAAGCAAATGGAAATCCGCAAACTACTTCCCTCCCTTGTGGGCCACATAGAATAGCCTTGAAGAAAGTAATTGTTTACTCTCTGTCTTCGAAAAATTGGTGAACATTTTTATATTGTTCCATTTCACAATGTTTTCTATCCTCAGACTAGTATGCAAGTAATTTTCCTTCACAAGTCGTTGATTTAAAACCAAATTGGCGGAAAGCACAGTCTGCAGTTCATCAAGTTTCAAATTGAATTGCTGTGAAATTTTCAACAAACCGACAATTCTGGGTCATATTCACTGTGAAAATGTGTCCGGCGAACGCTCGTTGGTTACAATTATAATTTCTCCAACCGAGATGCAATAAAATTTATTATCACTTAGATAGGTTCTCCCTATTAAACTAGTAGAGGGTTGAAGCTTTCGAAACGTAAAACGCTCTCAGACTAAAAATGTTTGCTAAGTTGCGGTCAACGCTCATAAACAAGTTACGCAAAGCGAATTCGGTCCTTACATAATAAATAAATGCATTTCCACGCTTTCATGAAACATTCCTAAAACGGCATTGTTTTGTAAAATAAGTGTAGGTGTCTCATTCGCTAATGCGCAACACTCCCAGCTTTAATTTGCTCCTTTTATTTCAAAGTACACGTAGAAATGCAATTGTAAGTACCGACCATTAGAAATGTAATGGTGATAATTATTTCTTTCTTTTTTCCTACAGGAAGCAGATATAGCCATCGCGCCGATGACAATAACATCGGAAAGAGAACGTGTTATCGACTTTAGTAAACCGTTCATGTCGCTCGGCATCTCAATTATGATCAAGAAACCGGTAAAACAGAAGCCCGGGGTTTTCAGCTTCCTGAATCCTCTATCAAAGGAAATATGGGTGTGCGTAATTTTCAGTTACATCGGCGTTAGTATTGTTTTATTTACGGTCTCGCGCTTCTCTCCCTACGAATGGAGGCTTTTACATTTAACTGGCGAACACCGAGATCCTTCCGGTCCTGGAGGAAATCCCAACTCAATGGCAAATGATTTCAGCATACTAAATTCTCTTTGGTTTGCTCTAGCCGCCTTTATGCAACAGGGGTGTGATATAGGTCCCCGTTCGATATCCGGGAGGATAGTTGGCGCTGTTTGGTGGTTTTTTACCCTTATACTTATTTCATCTTACACGGCGAACTTGGCCGCATTTCTTACGGTCGAAAGAATGGAGGCTCCCATAAATTCGCCCGAAGACTTAGCGTCACAAACTGAAGTGGAATACGGTACGCTTTATCACGGTTCGACCTGGGACTTCTTCCGAGTACGCATTTATGTTTTATTCTTCCGAATCCATTAAATTACCTCCACTTTCAGAGATCTCAAATAACGCTATACTCGAAGATGTGGGAGTACATGAATTCTAGAAAACACGTCTTTGTAAAAAAGTACGACGAGGGAATACGTCGCGTACGACAGTCAAAAGGGAAATACGCTCTTCTCATAGAATCCCCCAAAAATGACTACATTAATGAAAGAGAACCTTGCGATACAATGAAGGTAGGACAACATCTTGACAACAAAGGTTTCGGAATTGCGACTCCCCTCGGTTCACCACTCAAGTTAGTTTACCCTATGCTTACATTCATATTTCCATTTACATACGTTTTCTTTATGTTAGGGACGGCATAAATCTCGCCGTGCTGAGCCTAAAGGAAGGCGGAGAGCTTACAAAATTAAAGAATAGGTGGTGGTACGACAGAACTGAATGCAAGCAAGGAGACAAACAGGTACAGGTATCCATTATCTTTTACAAATTTAGATAAAAGATACATTTTCTAAATGAAAATCCCTCCCCATTCCACATTGTGTTTATCTTTTCGAGGATTAATCTATTTTAGAAAGTAATTAAATCTTTAGAAGTTTACTCCTCGCTGAATTTCGTAATTATTAATTTCACAGTTACGAAATTTCAACTTACACGTATCGATTTATTTATCAATATGTTACAGGAGACCGCAAGGAACGACTTGTCGTTAAGCAACGTCGCGGGAATTTTCTACATTCTAATTGGCGGCCTCCTGATCGCTCTAATTGTAGCGCTGCTGGAATTTTGCTATAAATCCCATTCCGAAGCAACGAGAGCCAAGATTCCGCTAAGTGACGCAATGAAAGCTAAAGCAAGACTCACGATCGGCGTTGGGAGGGACATAGATAATGGAAGGGTACGTAATTAATTACTTTCGTAGTATCGACGATTTACAGTTTTGTTATGCTCTGCCTACGTAGCGGTTGCTCGCGATCCTACTTAATTACATTATCCCTGTAAATTAGTAAGTTATCATGTTTTCAATTTGAGCTCGGAGGATCTCTAAAGTACTAACCGTAATTAAGCAATATTCCGTGCATTGCCGAGATCTCTAAATTTGCCAGTAATCAACCCCCGTTTTCATTATTTGCGTTCTGATGAAAACACGATCACTCATTTTCAAATGTGATAGGTAATAAATGCAATTTTGAAGAGTTATACAAAGTTTCATACAATTTCTTAGGATAGTAGTGGAACATTTATGAATAACAATAGGTATTTTAAACAATCTGAACATGATTTATCGTTGCACAAACTAACAAACAATAGCTGTTTTCGTATGTCAATTTATTGATAGACATCGTTCTAAGTGTTACTGGAATTCAGTTTTCCGTTTTCATTTACTTGATTGCTGCTGCTTTTTCGTATAACAGTTTAAATTTGTTGTGTTTGTTTTTTCAAGAAGAGAACACTTAGTAATTCACCCTGTATCGCTAGTTTTTTTTGCTCTTCGGAATCAACGCCCATTGGCCAACATGATTGAACCCAGCTGCACGAAAAGCATTCAAATAAGGCCACACAGAGGTCCTTTAGGATAGACGATGGGAGGGAGAATTAGAGAAACATAGCAAAGAATACAAATATACATCAGTATATGGGCTATGGTCAACGAAATAAACCCGGATTCGAACCACCATGAAAACCGCAATCCTGTTGTACTGCAAAATCAAATTATGGCATTTGAGTCGGTTGCCAATAGACATCTTATCTTCGTCAGGAATTGTACCTTCAAGTGTCTTTTAGGAAGCAATACAATCTATTTCTGTGTTCGGTGTAGATTGGACATTCAAAAATTAATACATTCGGCAGAATTAACTACACCAATCAAACTGTTAAATCTCCTACCGTGAATCCCAAGATGTATATAATTTAACCGAGACACTTCTTTTAATTCTGACAACAGACTACTTTCTTTCATATATTAGAATTTGAAAATTATTCTTCTTTTCTGGAGGGACTTGAGATAAGTCCATAACCTCGCGGCTTCTCCGCGTGTTTTAACGGCTCGTGTTACTAAAACCGTTGAAAGTACTGGTTCAGTACGAAGTTTACAAAAATAAGCTCCTCGGTCGGTCGAGACACCTCCAAAGGGTTCAGGCGTTGAAGGGGTCGGTCCAAGAATCCGTTAGCTGTTTTCACGTTTGCGACTCGAAACTTTCCATCGCGTCCATAATAACATAACTCAAAGACGGCGAGTATCAAACACAACATCTGAAATAGGAAGAACTTCTCGATTGTTAAAATTTTAAGACACAGTAATCAATGCTACGTGGTCCTTGCGAAATCGCTCTTGCTTCTTCTTCACTTCTAGCATTAAATTATATCGTTCAGGGAGACCTTCTGCTTTCTTCGGGTCAGGAAGAATTCTTATTTTAGGGGCTCAAATATTAATAATAGTACTGTTTTTTTATGGATTAGAAAAATTTTTTCCTAAACCATAATCAATAGGTTCACGGTTAGATAATCCATTAGGTTATCTGTTCTTCCCCCTGTACCCCTATATTACTAAACATAGATTTTACAAATCGAAACAATTAGCAAAATTCGTTTTTGATTTGCAAACAAGCACATATCTACTAAGTAACTACCTACCTACCCACAAAAAAAGAAAGAAGCAAAAGAATTATGTTAAATTTCGCTCTTTAATTAATAATTGTTTGCGAAGAGAGGCAATAACTGTCCGTAAACCGAGTTATTACTGAACTTGCAAATGTTAAATGAAAATGAGCGTTGAAATATTGCCTTGCATGGGATGGGGGCTAAACCCCTGTGCCTCAAATTTAAACGATACATATCGGTACGGAAGGTGATTTTATGATACAGGTACGGTGGTATCTTATTAGTTACGCCTTCTCTAAAAAGTTTCCTGATAGTCTAGTCAAATTACATTTTGGGCTGGATGTTTTCACTTATCACTCAACGAAACCAAGTATACTGTTACTGTATGTCAAAAAAATTCCTCTGAATCCAAAAATCATAGATCCCCTGGCCGGAAAGTCCCGGAACATATTGTTATAAACAAAAAATGAAGAAAAAACAGGAAAATGTCGTTTTTTTTTCGTATTTGACTACAATTATCTCGTTAATTATTGCTATGAGGGAAAAAATAAAGAGAAATGAATATGTTTAGAATCGTTTCATCGGTTCCCAAAAAACTTGCAACTTTTTTGGGACTACCTGAAATCGAATCATACACTGGCCACTCTTTTAAGACATAGCTCAGCAACCTTTCTCGCGAATAATTGTGGAAATGCTGCCGATTTGAAAAGGTTAGGCGGGTGGAAAAGCAGAAGAATCCATTTCACACATCAACATAGAAAAAAAATGTCAGGTTGTGAATCTTGTGTAGTTTCAAACAATTGCGATAATGCAGCAGTTATCGATGTTACACCTAATGATGAAATAATTGTTAACCAAGCGATTCAATGTGAAACGTCTGTAATAGAAAATGTTACAACTCAATGGGAGATTATTATAGACAAGGGTAAACCAAAGCCTCAGTTTCATTTTGTTAATTGTTCCAACCCTTCAGTTAATATAAATTATTATTATCATGATAAGAAGTATTAGATTTTTTATGTTATTTAAAATATTGTTCGTTTTTTTTTCCTATAATAAAGTTATAACTAACTAGTTTTGTTGGATGATATGGTAAAATATTACACTACTCTTTTGTCATATTAACATACTTACTTGTCATTTTATATATCAATGTGGTTACGATGTTATTTACAAGCGGGATTTTTGACATTTTAAGAACAATTATACCACCTGCAACCGTTAAACTTGTTTATTTAATTATGCACTAACTCTAAAACCTACGGGGATCGGGTTTATCATATTCTTTTGTTATCAAAAGAAGTGACCAAATAGGGGTTTTCAAAAAGATCGGATGAATTTTACTTAGTAATACCAAATTGTTATCTTCAGGATTACTTTTTTATATTTTTCCATAATAAAACGATAACATTTGAAAATGAACGTTCCGAACCAACTGTATCTTATGGAGAATTCGATTCTAAACAAATGCATTTGTCTTCATTTTTTCATCAGAGCAATAGTTGGTTTCAATCACGATGGTCGTGGTCGTCAACACTTCTTCCATCAGACCATAATAAATATAGTACGGGGGTCAATTTTTTTTATCAAGAAATGAAACGAATTTTAACAAATGGAAATATATTCAAAATAATTGTATGCGGATAGGTATTGGTGCAATGCCCTTGACTCGTATAAGTGCACTGCAAATTGAAGCCCGATTCTCCTAATCAGATTACAAACCAGCAAAACTTGTGCTGAAGTGTATAGCGAATCATTCATCTAAGCCATTTATTTTATTTAATCACCTATGACCCACAGAACCAACTTCTCTTCCAAACCAAAAAGAAAAATCGGTACAGCGTATATATATTACGACCATTTTTAATTTCTGCGGTGCGCGTTTTGGTTTCGGATATACTTTGAAAAATTTCCCAAAATCAAATAACCCAAATATATTGGAAAAAAAATAAGATACGAAGTCGCATACGATGTTCAGTAGGGGAATTATTTGCCTCTCAGCTCGTATTCGGTAACACACGTACGTACCTACTCTCAAATTTTCCGCAAACTATGACGGTTATGTCGTCAGCGTAACCTATAGCCATAAATGCAAGGATGCTATATAACAATAATATATACAGCCTGTTTTACAAAAAGGGTCCAAGTTTGTAACGAATTTTAATTATGGTTTTACGAAAAATTTGTGAATAATAATTTTATATGTGACATTACGATCGCATATTCAGACTTCCGATATCACTTCCGGTTAAACTAAGATTTTTAAAAAGAGCAATCAATTTGCTGTACGACATCAAAATATGCATATGGTTGATACACAAAAAAAATGTCTTAGAGGGAAATGAGAGTATAACAGACAGGCCGATATCGAGATTTTGTTTGATTCGAATTCCTGGTACTTCAAAAGGTATATTTTCTTTACAAAAAGTCGAAGGGTGGAGTCATTTTTTTACCTCAATGCAATACCTCTCCCATACTAACGTGTGGGTAGTAAAAATGGAGAAATTCGTGATTCTATATTCAAAAGGTTGAAATCTAGCATGCCGTGTGCTGACAGGATGCGCGCTGCCTGTTGTCTTCCATGGGGGATTGTATCGCGCAAAATTAAATCCTCAAAACTGAACAAGTTGATGTAGGTATTTTCCTTTACTAATCATATCTAACTCCGGTTACTCCTCTCATATGGAGCTCTCAAAATTATACCGTTTTGCTCTTCCAACTTATTGAATACGATTAACGGGCAATTTAAAAAAATTCTCAGCTTTCTCTCAACACCATGAATTGTAATTTACTTCTTTCTAATAAAATTAATTAATTAAGTATTCCTTTTTTCCATTCTATTGTCATAAAAATTTCATTAGTTAGGTACTCGTTGATTAAGTAACTACCTTGTAATACGGACGCTTACAAAACCTAATCAGGGGTTATAGTTTATTTCATTTTTACCTATGTAATTTATGACTATCCCCGGCGTCAACTTTAAGCAGAATTTAAGATTAGTTCAGCTTAGTCATTGACCAAAATTGCTGCAGTAATGATTATTATGGGTCATAAGCAGGGGCGGACTAGCACGGGGGGGGGGGGGGGGGATTGCCACCTGGCCTGTAGATCATAATGGCCCGTTGGAAATTTATAAGTATGTGCTGTATTTAGTTTCTTGCACTATTAATAAATTATTAACACGTTTCTCTAATGGGGGTTGATGTTAGGTTATTAAAAAATTCTGTTTTATTTGAAGTGTTTTACAATGAATTTATCATTTTTTGTCGTAGTATTTTGAAAGTGCTGAAATACAATGATAGGCGACGCACCTCGTGTGGATTGTATATTTTGTTACTTTTAATTATCAGCTGCAATTTAAGAAAAAACTGTATGGTAATTGATTTTCGAGAAAGGAGTACTTTAAAATGTTTTTGTGGTGCACCTCAGAGCTAACCCCCCCCGCCACCTTCACTACTACACTAATACTATACTATGGCCCGTAAGTACTCAGTCCGGCCCTGTGTATAACCTCCCATTTTTACCAAAATTCAACTACACCAAAATTTGTCGGGAAAACACTTTTTCTTATTAATTTTGGTGCGTAGAATCCAAAACAATTCGTACTTTTTCGATTAGACTTCTCAATCAAAAGTTATAGACTAGAAACCAATTTCGAAAAAAAATTCAAAGGGTTGTAACTTTTGAACTAGTAGCCCAATCTTGGAACTGTTTGAAATTATGGATTCTACAGGCACATTCTATAAGAAAAATTTTTTCCGGGTCGATCTGAGACAATTTTTTTTCGGGGCTCAAAAAAAGGCAGTGTGTACCTTCCTTTTTTACCAAAAATCGACTGCACCAAAATTTCTCGGGAAAACACTTTTTCTTATTAATTTTGGTGCGTAGAATCCAAAACAATTCGTACTTTTTCGATTAGACTTCCCAGTCAAAAGTTATAGACTAGAAACCAATTTCGAAAAAAAATTCAAATGGCTGTAACGTTTGAACTAGTAGCCCAATCTTGGAACTGTTGGAAATTATGGATTCTACAGGCCACATTCTATAAGGAAATTTTTTTCCGGGTCGAACTGAGACAATTTTTTTTCGGGGTTCAAAAAAAGGCAGTGTATATTGTATAACCCATGGCCTAATAAGAGTATGGTCTGCTATTCCCGTGAACGAAATCTCGCACAAGTCGCGCATGACGTCACGCGGTTGTGTACACTGAAATATTGTACACCCGCATATGAATAAATATGTGCTAATATTTCGATGTTCCATTGCATATGTGATAAATACGATTATATAGCTATATTACTTTATTACAATGGTCCATTGTGTGGTGTATGGTTGCAATAATAACAATAGAAAAACTAAATACAAGTTAGTTTAAATTTCCAAAATATGTTGCTTTTCAGCGGGGTATAAGTGTATCGGCATCTGATTGATGGCTATACCTTCACTCAACGATCTAACCGATCGTTAATAGATTTGTATAACGAGCTAATAAATAGGTAGATAGGTACGATACGGAATATGTTTTGACACCAAGATTTGTTGGTAAATATACCTTCCAAAGGGCCGGCGAATGCTGCTTTGCTCAGCCATTCGAAAACTCGACGGAAATTAATACTTGTTTAACGGGCCAACATTGCAAGAAGGTATTGCTGAAATACCTACCTTCATTTTGCTCAAGAAACAACGAACATTCATAAAGAAGGTTCGCTTTATATGACTGCTTAAGTTGCATACAAATTAAAAACGAAATACCGATTCTTAGGCGAAATCGCCGAATTTGAAATAGGCGATAATTGGATTATTTTATATCTGAACGGGATTTAAAAAAGCCAACAAATTATTTTGCTGTTATTGAAAAGTAATAACTTAATGCATCCTGTGATAAGACATTGATACCTAACGACGCTTGCGACCCGAGTTGCGACCACTTAGTTAAACCAAAGAGCATATAATATAACGATACTCTTTGAACTGTGGAGTAAGGACGTATATAAGAATTCGAAAACGAAATAAACAAAATGAGAAACTGCGGGACTTCTGCAAAAAGACGAACAATTAGTAACCAATGAAAAACCTCATGTTTTAAACAGTCTGAATTGATGTTTTGTACATATTTTACATTAAAACCTAATGATTTTCTACTTTGTTTTTGTAATACAACACAGTTTGTTACGTAGATATATGCAGATAATCTCTAATTAGGTGTAAGTACTTTATGAATGAAAGCTTTTCACCGTAATTGTTAGGCTTTCTTATTTATTCTTATGGGAGTTTTGCCGGCACCAGTTCGTTTCACAACCGCGTGACGTCACATCAACGCCAGCCGACTAATGCACTATGCGCAATAGCAGACCATACTCTTATTAGGCCATGGTATAACCTTCCCTTTTTACCAAAAATTGACTGCACCAAAATTTCTCGGGAAAACACTTTTTCTTATTAATTTTGGTGCGTAGAATCCAAAACAATTCGTACTTTTTCGATCAGACTTGTCAATCAAAAGTTATAGACTAGAAACCAATTTCGAAAAAAAATTCAAAGGGCTGTAACTTTTGAACTAGTAGCCCAAACTTGGAACTGTTTGAAATTATGGATTCTACAGGCCACATTCTATAAGAAAATTTTTTTCCGGATCGATCTGAGACAATTTTTTTTTCGGGGCTCAAAAAAAGGCAGTGTATAACCTTCCTTTTTTACCAAAAATCGACTACACCAAAATTTCTCGGGAAAACACTTTTTTTTATTAATTTGGGTGCGTAGAATCCAAATCAATTCGTACTTTTTCGATCAGACTTCTCAATCAAAAGTTATAGACTAGAAACCAATTTCGAAAGAAAATTCAAAGGGTTGTAATTTTGAAATAGTAGCCCAATCTTGGAACTGTTTGAAATTATGGATTCTACAGGCCACATTCTATAAGAATTCTCCTCCTCGTCTCCTCTCACGTTGGATAAGCTCACTCCTAAATAGGTAAAGTTCTCCACTCCTTCTGTTCCATTCAGGTTTCCGGCGTCCTCCGAGCTAAATTTTAAATTTCTAGGCTCTTTTGTTCTCTTTCCCTCTTGCACTTCCATATACTGTGTCTTCTCCATGATGATTCTTAGACCTTTTTCAATTTCCGAGCAGTTCTATTATTTGGTGCTTGCTTTTGGTTACTAAAGCTACATCGTCAGCGAAAGCAACCATTTAGTGTCTATGATGGTATCCGATTCTGTGGAACTCGCATCGATTTGCTCCAGGAATAAATTAAGTAAGTCGGTTGATAACAGATCTCCCTGGCGGAGTCCCCGTATAAGTCTGAAGTTTCATGAGTTGATGCTCTTCCTTCATTCTTTATTGTTCGTCCCTTGTAGCGTCATCGTTATTAGGCTGGTTATTCCTTTTTTACCAGCGCGTCCCCCAGTTTTCTCCTATCTACTGTATCGTAAGCTCTCCTGAAAATTAAAAGATTAAATGCAGCGGCATGTTTGTGCTCAAAGCTATTTGCTGTTCGCTACTTGATCACAAAAATTTGGTCACTTACAGATATCTGCTTGCTCGGAGGCACACTGATTAAGTTTTAACTTCCTCTTCTGTGAGTTCTTGTATCCGTCCTTCCTCCCGATCTTCTCGTCCGTGTTCCGCCCTGCCTGTTTCCTCATTGTTGTCCCCTAGGATTTCTACGCTTAATAAGCTCATCCAAGTCTCTTCATGAACGAAATTAAAAAGGGGTTCAAGCTCAATCTGTCATATTCGTTACATCTTCCACATCATTTAGTCGCTACTGTCAAGTAGGTATACATATATTGCTATCATTGCGCTATTTTAGTTTTCCACGTTCATTCGATTACTCGATTACACTAAACTAAAAATCGTTAGCGTTAAATCTCACCGTGTTCGTTGCCAATTAAAAAAAATTTGTCTTTGAAAAGGTGCATGCACTCACTGTTTACTGTTTCAAAATATTAATCCCAAAGGTAACCTTATATAAAGTGTCCTATCCCTTTTCGTTACTATATCCTTTTGGGGACTTAATGTTAATGCGATGTGATTAAATGTTAAGCTAATATTAAAGCATCCGAGTCAGGTAACAGCTTTAATAGGCCCTTTTCTGATTCTCTCAACTGAACTTCAACAGTCCGATAACTTTCCCATTAGCAATCACAAATCAATTATTCAACCTAATAAAATCCATCCGGAATTACGTTAGAAAACTTCTGGTCATTCATCGTTCAAACATCGCATTATAGTCTTTTTGTTTTTTGAACTTATAGGGAGATCAAAGATTTTTTAATTGGAAGCGTCAATTCCGTCAAAGCTGAAAATTAATGTAACCTTTCCAAAAGATGGACGCATAGGGAATAAACGAACCGGAAGGACAATAAAAACATTGGGGAAGTTGTAGAAATGTTTACGCGCTTATTCAAATTAAAAGCTATGAAAAGTGTCAACAAAACAAACATGGGACGAGAGGGCTAAACCATAAACAGTTTTCGAAGCAAACGATTAACAAACTAGTACGTATTCCATTTACAATCGCGATTTTTGTTGAGAAATTGAAACGTCAAACGCAAAAAGAAATAAAGCGAAATTGCATCGTCGTGTAACCGAAACATCTTTTATTGTAAAGCTACCCTTTTCCGCTAAATTATGAATATCCTCTGTGAATGGAAAGCAAACTATCCTTAGGTACATAGTTTTCATGGACCTCCCATTCGCTTTCCAAGTGCCTCTGACGTCTTTGGCAACTACGGTAAAAAGGTGGGTCAACTATTGACTCACATTTGCACATATTATATCAGCACTTGTAATACCCGAAGTAGCATGCGCCCTATATTTCCGAGTTTTAAATAGCATACATAGACTTCACAAAGAAACGTTAGCTATTATGTGCAGTCCATCGTGTATAAAAGCGACAGAGTTAACGCAAAATTGTATATAAATAGAAGTTCCCTTTATAAATAACGCCATACAGCGACGAGGAATTTGATATAATTTCGTCCAAAAACGCAATTTCGTGCGCGCATCAAAATTGTAAGGTCTCGAAATCACAGTTCTTGAAAAATGTACGCACACATACTTATAAAATAATAGTTTTCTGGCTTGTGTGTATTTCTCTACCTTCCGTAACCTTCCCAAGTTTGTCCATACATAAATATTTAACACACTTGTCTCGTTTCAGTATTACACCCCTGCAAACCAGATCGCTGGCAGTGCCGAACAGGAGCAAGCCCACAGCAACACTCATACCCAAGTCTAATCTAAAAATTACCATATCTTTAGTATTAAATGTAACTATACTGTTTTTATATTCGGTGTGGTAGTTGTATAAATGTGATACCATGTTAATATTAAATATTGACTGTTTAATCCAAAGTCTTTTATTACGAAGAGCAATCCTGGAAGGCAATTGTGCATTGTGGTTGAAGGTAATTGCGTGACGATTGTATCGCTAGACGAAGAAATATGTCTACGGTAGGTCATTGCAGTAAAGCGAGCGCACTTGAACGCAATTTGCTCTTTTCTGGACGTTGATTGTTTCGTGCCGATAGCGGGGAAAAGTTGCGTGCGAACAGATTTACCGAACGATTAACGTTGAAAAATATAAGTACGCCTCGTAAAATGAGAGAGTAGACAGTAAACAATTTAGGATATTATCAAAGGCCGCTAAACACTAGAGTCCTTGTATTGAAGACTCTTGAATTTCGAGCGGTTCTACTCAATAGCATTGTTTGTCCTCTTCCAGCGTATACGTAAGTTCGTCAATCAGAAATAATTATCATAGATGTTACCCGTTTCTGGCATGAGTGTTGACTGGAGTTACGTCACTTGGTGAAAGCAATAACGAAAGTCGCGGCTCTGGGTATTGATTAGATAGGTACTGTAGTTCCAGGTCCGCGACTGCGTCCCGACGCCGATGTCAGAAACGACCGACGTTCGCCACATCAATTGCATGCGCGCGAGGGTGAGGCCTTCGAAACGTACAGTATTATTTGCCGATCTGAGCGTGCGATTATTTCGCACAATTTTGCGACCATGCGCAAGGGATGAGTAGCTCGCCGGGCCCAGCGACCACTCCTAGTATCGGAGTCTGATGAGACACACTAGTCTAACGAGTGAAGTGTGCGGATATGCCGAGAAACAGGGGACACGTGTAGCCGCCCCAGGCAATGGGGCACAGCCGGGTGGTATGGCCAGCCGCGCTGCTGGCCCTCATCCTTCCTTGGGCTACTGCCGCGTAAGTAAAATTGCATTATTTTAACGATGCGAAGTTTCCGACGGTCTGACAACAAATTTCGAAATACGCCCGAGATGTTTTCCCGTTCGGCCCAGCCAAACGTTGCGGGATTTTAAATTTCGTCGCCGGATTTTGCTGAATTTCAGTCGTGGAGCGTGAAGTGTGTTTTCAAGTGTTCGCTCGGTGAAGTTTACGTCAACAGTTCCAGTTGTGGGTTACTATTTTGAAAATCGGGAGCGTTTTCATTCTACCGCGGTCTGAGGAAAAATCGGGGACGGGCTGTGTGAGGTACAAAGAACAAGGCAAGACCCGTGACGTCACCGTTTCGCGGCGCCCCGGCGCCGAAAGGGTGGGGTGAGGACTGCTTTGATTTCAAAACAAAGAATTGACGGCGACATTTGTAGCTCGTTTACGCGAATTTTCGAGTGCCCCTCGTGATAACCTTTGACATTTCGTTTGCTCCTTGTAAGAGGCGATCGCTTATTTGATTTTCATTTGCAGGACACCAGGGGGTAGCATGTTGGGTGATGTCAACATATCTGCCATACTGGATTCGTTCAGTGTCAGTTATGATAAAAGAGTAAGACCTAATTATGGAGGTGAGTACAAATATTACGTTCGGTATGTCATCGTCGGTAGTTGCGCGACCACCTGAGCTTGGGACGCGCACTGCCCGCTGCTCGGGGCCGTGTCAATAGGGTGGGGCCAGATCGATGCTCGGGGTGGGTTGCCTAGCGACGCGCAGCATCTCTCCAGAACGCCATTCCGTTTACGGCCGCCGACCGGCTGTAAAGAGTGCTGATTAAAGCGCGGCCACACTGCTTCGCTTTGGTCGGCATCAGCCCCCGCATGTATTTACACTGCCACTTGTGACGTGGTGACGTTTCAGGTCCGCCAGTGGAGGTGGGAGTCACCATGTACGTGTTGAGTATCAGCTCCCTTTCCGAAGTCAAAATGGTACTAACATAAGTTTCCCAGAGCCTATAACCGCACATATCCGTTCCCTGACTCGCGCGCTAGGCGTCCTGGGGATACGGGTTGGTACTGCGATTTAACGTACCCAATCCGTACTGGTGATTTTATTTGTGCACATCGAGCACCCACTTGGTGTCCGATAATTCAAAGCTTTATCGAAATGTTGTAATTGCTAAATGTCTGGTCTTCTACCCAGGCTGAGTCGAGCGCTAACAGAGCTGGGTAGCAGGCGGGCAGGCCTAGGGCATGTAATTGATTTGGTTTTCATGTCGCGACTCAGAAATTTTACGGTTACAGGCCCGCCTGTGGAGGTGGGAGTCACCATGTACGTGCTCAGTATCAGCTCCGTCTCTGAAGTATTAATGGTATTTATTTTCGTATCTACGTGTTGTACATACTATGATAATCCGGACTACGACTGCCGGAGACGTGAATGTTTTATGTCTGTCGCAGTCTTGAATACTTGGACTGTGTGCATGGCCTTTCAATCTGTTGCCAGCTTTGTCGCGATGCTCGGGCGCGTATATACGTATATAAATGTTTTTGGGGCCGCGTTTCGACGGACTAACCGACACCTCCCTCGATAAGGTCGGCCTCTGAACCCCAATGGAAACCAAATCAAGGTTAAAGGTCACCGCATGACGTGACCCTGGCCAGCCCCCTTCGCCGACTCTGTCCAGCGTGCGAGTACACCTAATCCACCTTTCCCTTAACCCGCACAGAACGCTCGGGTAACAGATAAGTAAACCCAGAGTGTCATCGGCATGCTGCATGATCCTAAGGGTCGCACCCCGACTGTAACCGATTGTATAATTAACACACCATTCTTAAGCAATCCGTAAATCGTAGACACCATTGCAGTCGCATTGCGTCTCTGGCGCCGCGCCAAAAAATCGCTACGTTACACGAAAGAATGACTGAAAAAGGGATGCATGCAAAAAGGTCTCATTGTCATTTCGCCAGTCATCTGCATGTTACGTGTGCATGACTCGATAGAAGTCAAACTAGCAAATCGATCATCTTAACGCTTTCATAACGACTTGGTGTAAATGTGGCTTAGGTCGATTTGCTACGCACTCCCTTCATAAATTCACCACGCAAAGTTTACCGCCAAACTTTTGTTAATTAGGATTTCACATTGGATTTCTACTTCCGACAATTCTGGACGGATCCACGCTTAGCGTTCAGAAAAAGGCCAGGCGTGGAGACTCTTTCAGTTGGTTCGGAGTTTATCAAAAATATTTGGGTACCGGACACTTTTTTTGTAAACGAAAAACAATCGTACTTCCACATTGCTACAACTTCCAATGAATTCATAAGAATACATCATTCCGGTTCGATAACGCGTAGTATTCGGTAAGTTTAAGAAATGGTGCACCATTCGTCGTTAACGCATTGTTCGTTGCAGCCTTACAATCACCGCTTCGTGTCCTATGAACCTTCAGTATTTTCCGATGGACCGTCAACTATGCCACATAGAAATTGAAAGTTGTAAGTAACGGTCCTTAATTGAAAAACGTATGAGTGTGCGTAAGTTCACTTTGTGCGTTCCAAAATTTACAAAATGTATATAATCTGACTAATTCGAAAATATTTTTCAAAATGTGTGGGCATCAAAAGATATTTGTGTTCGTGCTTTTGTGCGTCAAAATTAGGTGTGTTTCTGCACTACTGTTTATAGCAAACGCCGAACAAAATGTGGTGGAACAACGCTTGAAGGCACAGAGCACCTTGCACAGATAGCTCTTGGTCCGCGATGACACGAAAGCCCGATGGTCCGTTAGGATCCTATCGGGCCACGCAGCCGCAATCCTAATGTTTGCGATTCCTTTTGTTTTGTTTCCTATCTGAGTTTGTATTTGTTGTGGTTGGTTGCGGTCTCCTTCTCAAATACAGCACCCGCGGAAGGGCCGATAGTGTTCGTATCGTGAGCAAGAAAAGCAGTACGCCCTGCTCACCGCTACTGCACCGTGGCGGCACCCGGACAGCCGCCACCCACCGGACGGGAACCATGGGACAGACGTCGGCCGCATTGTACAACCACTTGGCCCGACTCCCGGCCGGCACTCACGCATGCACTTGCATGCTACCATAAAACCTATGTCCCAATAGGTCATACCTTTTTTTATACTGTGACACACCTTATTTTGCCTAAGAAAACCGCTTTGCACGTGCTTTGGGCTTTTGCGTATTTTTTTCGAATGAGTTCGCACCCGCCTTGGTTTCATGTCCATACCTAGATTAGACAAATCAAAATCACGTAGAGCTAGTGATATGGCGAAGCGGTAATTGTTCATACTTTAAAATCGATCATATACACTTGCCGCTTGACACCGCCGCGCCCACGCTACATGATGTGTTTCCGTGGCCCAGCTACAAGAATTACACGTGCTGGCCCACGCGAACGACATCCAGGCTGTCGAATGACGAGCTTTGTTTGTTTTGGTGGCCGGGTTAGTCGGGTACACAATGCGAGATATTCTATATAAGTGGAATTCGGGATCAAAAAGCGTCGGAATTAGCAACGAGGTGGAGCTGCCGCAGTTCCGGGTGCTTGGCCATCGGCAGAGAGCGACTGTAGTTAACCTAACCACAGGTAATTACAAACAGTTTTCGCATATCCCTAAAATTCCTTCACGTTTTTAATTTTTCTTTCGTTCTACACCTTTCGTCCCTTTTTTTATTTCTATCGGCTGCGGTGTATTACCTTTCCGCAGCTGGCACTGGCTTGTAATTGCAGTCGGTTACACCATGCGGGATATTCGCTATAAGTGGAATGAAGGGCCCAACTCGGTAGGGGTTTCCAATGAAGTATCTCTACCACAGTTTAAAGTCCTTGGCCATAGACAAAGGGCGATGGAAATCAGTCTTACAACAGGTATCCATGGGAATGTGGTAATATTGTAGTTTCTCATCCTCCCTCTGGACCCAATTCCATTATACTGAATTCCACTTTTAATATCTTTCGTTATTCAAGTAATTTATTATTCCCATATACTCATACTCGTTGTAAACTTATAAATAATTTTCTACTACCACCAATTTAGCTTAGTACTCACTGAATTTCAAGCATGATCTGTATGTGTTTTTAACAATACTATTCCGACAGTATGTTTGGGGGAACGCCGAACTTTTATACGGTCGTAACTAAACCGAAATCGTTATTGCAAATTTCGTCGTTTAGCTGAAAGCCAAATATTTTCATTGCAGTCTACTCATTTGAATACTTTAATCATATTCGGAAACTATCGAAAGTGCATTATGATAATATAGGTAAATCGTAAAGAAAGCAAAGTTATGAACATTTTTGAAAAGAATAATTTATTCAAAAAAAGCAGCAGTGCCGAATGTGCCTGACGATTATAAAGAATTATCTAATGTAATGAAAGAAGCTTCTAAAATAAACGAAGATGGTGTTAAAGTAGTAATCAATCAAAGATGTTATTAAATAGTATATTGAAAGACAAGTGTTACAATGCGACCTATTGTAATACGACTATCTTGTGGCACGAGTGGCGACGCGAAGCGTAGCGACGAGTGTCCGCAAGATAGGAGTATTACAATAAAGCATTGTAACACGCGTTTTTCATACTATTTTTTCTATTTCGGTGCTTTAATTTAATTAAAAAAATCATTATCAGAAACTATAGGGAACATTAGAACTAACATGTTTTATGTTGGGAACACTTTTTATGCCGTTAAGTTTTAGGTTGGCTGCGTAGTAACACTGACATTTTGAAGTTCAAAATAGAAGTACCCAACGAAGTACCTACTTGTACTAACTAGTAACTGCCAACTTAAGAGATGAGTTCCCAAAAAAAAACGACTATAATCACTGTCTTTGTACAACTGTTTTCGGCCGAAAACAGTTGTACAAAATCATCATTGTGACACCGAAATAGAAAAAACTATTTAATGTATTATACGAGAGAAAAGGATTTTTTTTTACAAAATATAAGATCAAATAGTATCACTTTTCTATCTTCGATTAATTGCACTGCAATTTTTTTCAACAATTTTTTAAAGTTTTGTATGGTATGGTATGGTAAAAGGAGCCTGTTTTTTAATTTTACTTGTGAGTGTCGTTATTTTAATAATTTACACGTTAATGGTACAGATATAGAAGAACCAAAACTAAGAAAAAATGTAATGATGATAATGATAAACAGGAAATATTTTCAAAATTTTTATTAGATTAGATGCAGATACACAGAAATTAATAGTTTGTGATAATTATATGAATCAGATCAGTTCATGATATAAGATTTATGCGGTGTGGGTACTTACGCAACTCAGTGCTATCATGCAATCTTATGCAGAAAAATAAAATTGATTTTAAGAGTATTCGGTGGTTAATTAAAAAAAATTATAGAAAAGCAACCATCAACTATATTCATTTTTACAACTAATTTAGATCATTCTGCTATGATTCATAGAAGTAATCTTTCACCCTTAATAAATAACGAGTTACATTCAAAAAGAACGAAGAAGCAAAAAGAAATCTTCATCTCCAAAGGGACGTTGTGGTTGTTTTACCATTGTTTTCCCAATCTTTTGATACAATTATGAAATGATTAAATAGTCTACCAACATTGGATAGAAGAAAGAGATTTATAATATTGCCTATAAATTTTATAAACAGCTTCTATTGGAATTCAAAATTTCAAAGCAGAAATATTGACAGCAGATCATATTTGAAACAAACAAGGAGAATTGGTAAAAAAATGTAAAATATTTACCTAGAGAGAAATACGTCAAAAAATGAAATTCTCCTATTGAATAATTACGTTTTTATTTATTACTATTTCTTAAACAAAAGTAGTACTTTTAACAAAAAAATTGTATGTGGTGGGGTAAATGATTATTAAAATGTTTTGAGAAATCTGCTCTTTGTTTACTTTTTATTTTCTGTGCTTTTTTTAATTACCGGATTTTTATAAAAATCAAATCTGTGGTAGAATTTGTGGCATTATAAAAAATTAAATGCAGTGCCCCACGCTGGGTGTGCAAAAATTAATGCTGGGTGTAATGACATGAATTCATCACACCACTCAAGTGACACCTAGATAGCTCAACTTTGCACAATTTAAAGCTCGTAACAGAACCCTTATCTTCCTATACTTAAACTTTATTTTTTTAAATAAAATTAATTAATCCCAGGGTTAAGCTGGGTTCCGAAACCCTGGTAAATTCTGGACATTCATAATTAAAATTAAACAGATCTACAAAATTTTGACCTAAACTAGAAATTACCAACGATTAACTCAACACAATCGAAATTCCCAGTTCCTTGCAGTTTCAAAAATTGAATAAACATTTATACAAAACAAGCAAATAAACAGAAGGCTAAGATCGCTTTATTGAAACATTGCAAATGGGCGAATACAGAAAAAACTATGTCTCAAAAAGTACTCACTACCTTGTTGTAATACTCAAAGTTTTGTTATCAAAAACCGCCTGTGCACTGACGAAAAGAACACACTTTGACAGGGTTATTTTAACGTGAACACACAACCGTGTACACAAACTTTCTTCTTGTGTTACTTCACCAACACTGTTTCCAAAACGAATGTAACACGTAACTGACTGTTACGTTCGTTTTTTGCATACCAGTAGTGCTCTTTAGGGACGAGATACTCAAAAATGTTATTAGGAAAAGATGTTCTTAGTGAAAACTGAGTGAACGTGCAAAGTTTCAAAGTCGTCGGTCTCCTTTGATTTTTGGATGTACACCATCATTACATTCCAATTCGAGTAGGTTTTTTAAGCAACATTTTTTCCAATTTCCTCAAAAAATCCAGTTAAAAAATAAAAACATCATAAAATCAAAGTTAGCCTAGTACTTTGCAATTTCGAATCAGTTTTGCATTCTAAACAACTTTTTTTATTAACGTCCTCGATTTTCCAAACTAAAATTATGTCACAAATTAGTTTCCAACCAAGTAGGGGTGATCTCCAGAAGCTCAAAATTCAATTTTTTTGTTTTTTACGAGCCGACCAACAATCTGGGGACACACTGTATACTATCGTTTAGCTTATACCATGTAAAATAAATTACAACCCGCGAAGATGGAAATAAATAATAAATAAATAAATAAATAAATAATTTAAAAGGAAATCGAAGAAATGCCAAAAAATTGCAGTCAAATTCAAAAAGTTGAAAATATTTTAACATGTTTCCCTAAACCAAAATAAAAGTAGGAGAGGAAAGACTCATCCGTCTTTTACGCATTTTTCCCAATTAGAAAAGTAACTATTATGGACTCAAACTACGTTTTGCTAGACAGTGCTGTTGATTTAAAATGCTGCTTACAGGAATTATCGTATGTGACAAAAAATATTTCCGCTTTCCGGTCCATGTTTTCTGCTACTTTTCACTGTGAAGTGCTATTTCTGGGGCTACAGTTTATTGACAAGTGCTATCACGTTTAGGTATTTTATAAGTACCCATGCTCTTCAAGGTGAATTATTAAGGAGTCAGTTTGTGTTCAAAATTGGATTAAAAAGAGATTTTGGTGTTAAAATTGATTGCACATAGCTGTCGGTATAACTGCTTTTCCAACTTGTACTCATCACTGTTAGGACACGCTTATTCGGGATAATTTTGTTTTCCAAATGCTGTTCTTTAGGCAAGATCACATTATTTAACTCTAGAAGTTTACCGGTTAGCAGAAAGTTACCCAAGAAAAAGAACAATCTCTCATTTAGGGGGGAACTGAATGGATTTGAGGCTAGAGCACATTTTTACGTAATTGTCGACAATCTGGTCTGACCCATTACAATTTCTTGGAATGGCGTGTTCTTCGCCATAACTAATTTAGAAAAAAAGATGGCAGTTTGCATTCTGACATTACGGCCAATAGACAAAATAAAAATTCTGGGGAATAGGTGAATATTAGGGATTTTCTGCAAGGTTTGTACTCACAATGATCCGGAGAGGACAGAACGAAGTAGTGACTTGTTTTATGCATCCTTCTTGCGAGTAAGACAACGTAATCCTCATTTTAACATTGAAGTGCGCTTAAAATTTAATTGATTAAGAAAGACGAATAGAATTGCGATTATTGTAAAATCTAATTTGTTGTACTCCATGGATTAAATCAACGTGTTTTGTCATTCATTTAAGGCACTTTAGTGGTGGCACTTTTTCGCCCAGAAGAAGATTAACGCGACGCGAGACAAAAAGGGGCAGTAGGTAGGTACCTACCCACTGAAATTTCAACCACAATGTAGGGACAAATGGTTACTTTTATATGTATATTTTGGTTCTTGCACCATATTTTATACTTTCGTTTTCGAGCTACCATTTATATCACCTCTAGATTTAATCGTCGCAGATGGCTGGTTGCAGATTTTTCTTCCTTTTGTAATACGTTGAAGATCGAAGCACTTAGAAAAGATGTCCCTAACCACTGTTGTACGTGGTGGATTTCTTTCTCCCATCATGATTCCATTTATTTGATTCTAAAATTTATTGAAACTTTATTTTGTTGTACAACCCTTCATTGGTGTGCTGTTTTAACCTTGCACTGTACTCTGTAACGGGTTTTGCACACACGTACTATGTTACAAGTGGTACTGCAGGCACGTTGCACT